AAAGGTTTTGGTACCATTCCCTGATCTTATGGAAAAACATGAAGGGTACCTCAGTTGTCTTCCTGTCCGTCCCCTGGTGTAGTCAAAGTCAACACAATTCCATATGTAACAAAATTCCATTATATCCATGAAAAATACTAAAAAGAAAATTGTATCATTTCCACCCCTCTCCTGGTTCTACCAGAAAATATCGATCCCCAGACAAAACAGAAATCATGGACCCTGAATCCTGGGTATTTAACTTCTAGAAAGGTAAAATGCTTCTTGCCACTAAAAACCAGCATACTCTGATTATGAAATGGTCTTATAGATTTACCAAGCTCTTAACTACTCCCAAAAGTTTCACAAAGTAAATRTTCCTGAATACAGGAGAGACACACACAAAAAGAGGAGATCTTCATGTTCCAGGAAACACTGAATTAATATTTGGCCAAGGCAAATGACAGACCAATGCTGAGACTCTTTCTGTGACTGGATGCATGTAATTTCTTACAGGTAAAGGACATCTTAAGGGATGACATATAGATATAACAAGAGGCATGTTCAAGATCCAGGGCTTGTATTCTAAGTTTTCAAAGAAGAGCCCTCAATTACACATTGAACTTTGCTAGATCTGAACCGTGCTGGAGTGGCTGTATTTATCTAAAAAGAAATTCATAAGATAGATGCAAAAAGTCTGCCAAACTGATGTGTTACAAAGTGTGGCTCTGCATCTCTTCAGTCTCTCCACAACTGCCTGGAAACTTGTTGCATTTGTTATTATTACTGCACTGATTTGCCCTCCTTTATCACGAGCCTGCATGTTCATGTCCTGACCTGTGAAAATGCCTGTTCTCTGTCAACTCTGCCTTATGGCTTCTCTTTGTCTGTRGGCTGGATCCTTGCATCACTTGGAGCTGACCATTCTCAATTCCCTTTTTTCCCAGACTATCATTTTTTTGCCATTACCTTCTGAAAAAAAAAAAACCAAAAACAAACCCAAACTATCAGCTTTCTATAATTTTAGTTGACTTGCAGCTTTTTTCTGTATTTGATAAATCTTTAATCCATCCTCACAGCCCTTTAGGATACACTGAAATTCAAAGTAGAGCTGTTAGGACCTCACTCAGCTCAGTCTGCATCTTACATAAATTGCTATTACATTTTTAAAATATTGCTACTGTCCTAAGAGAGCTTTAAATGTCATTGTGAATAATACTGAATGCCAGAAGTAAAGACCTTAAGTCTTTCCTTGCTTGTCAGTCATTTGGGAAGGACTTTTAGCTAGTGTGCATGATGACCCAAACAGGGAACACTRCCCATTCACTTTCTTCCTTGATTCTTCCTTGATAGTCTGCCCTGGCAGAGCCATGGAGAGATCAGGCTGAGAAGCACAGACATTTTGTATTTACAAACCCCTCTGCTGTGTTGTGCTGCCTTCACAGCTGTACAGTGTGGACCATCCAAAGTGCCCTTACAGCTCCCATGCACTGCAGGATGCTGAGTGCCAAAGTCACCCTGCTTCTCACAGAGCATTCACAGTGTGGCTGCACAAAGGGTGGCAGAGTCTTTGGCCCACAGGGCTGCCCATTCCTCAGGAGGGTTGCATTTCCACACTGCTGTCTGGTGAGTGCCACACTGTCCTCCACTGATGGCTGTGCCCATCATCTGCGSCTCTGCCTCCTGGACACTCCTTCTCCCAGCTTCTCCACCAGCCTTTACCTGGAGGACCTGTCTCTTCCCAAGGCAGGTCTGACACATTTGATTAGCCTGATGGCAGARTCCCTTCACAGGTTTCTGAAAAAGCTCCCTCTGAATGATTTATACGGTTACATGGTGAGCAAGAACCACAGCCACTGAACGCAATGGATGCAAATTCCAGCCTTGCATTGCCCACCTGCCGTTGTTCCCATTCATACTGCAAGCTTCCTTAAGAGCAGAGCCTTGGTCCCATAGTTGAACTACTGGAAATCTAAGTACASGCTGGAAGTGTGAGATTGTTGAGAAAATTAGCCAAAAAGAAAATTTAGATCTATGACTAAATTAATCCCCAGATTAATGCTATCAAAGCAAATGGTGTTTATAGAAAGTCTTGTTTTCTTTATATTCWTGTGAGAGAAAATCAAAAGAATGCTAGAGGCAAATTTCATCTAGCAGAATTGGAAAAGAGAGCATGGGGACAAAGCTGTAATTACTGGTATTTCCTATCTGTTGAAACCTGTGGGTGGAAAGAGAGTCAGTGAATAGAGTATATTCAATGGCATTAAAATCGGTTTCTTTTTCTGGACTTTAGCTCAACACTGCAAATTAGCAGGGGGAAAATAAGCCTCAGAGTGAACAGGCAGAGAAGCCAACTTCATGTTACCCTTTGCTGTTAGGAAAAAAAAAAAGGCATTTTTTTCCTTCAAGAATTCAAATTCCTAGCAACGCAGAGTACAGCTGCACACTGATAAGCAGGAAACATACAGCAGTTCTCACGTGGTTTGGTGTTTGTGTGTCTACATACACACTGTTATCCTGTTTTCCTTTCTAAACATGTCATTTGAATGAAGAGAAGACAAGTATGTTTAATKAACTCTTGCTTTATAAACAAGGCATTCTGACCCACATTCATCATGGTACAACTTTGGTACCTGCAGGATATCTGACTTTAGATCATTCTGTATCCAGTCAGTGGAAGGGATAAGACCCTCCCAGCCATGATTTGGACCAGCAGAGATCAGAATTGACATTGCCAGGTACCCAWCTCTCTCTGTGAACCATTGCAGATACTTAGGATAACTGTGCTCCTAAGTCTCCCTTTCACAGAGCTAGGAAGGATGATTTGAGACCTCAGCATATTTCTACTTATGACTTTCATCCCTTATGAAAACTTCTTTTGTAAGCAATAGCTGTTCCTGAATTAGCTTTACTCTTTACTACTGAATTAGCTGTTACTGAATAGGCATTACTGCCTATAGAAAAAAAAAAGGACAAGTAAAATATGGTTTTCTTACAGGTTTAAAAAAATGTACTTTGCAGTTTGAGATAACTGCACAGACCTGAATTATTCTGAGTAAGTCCTATGTCATAAAATGTTTGTTTAGTTCCCAATTTTTTTGACAACAGTTAGTAAATTGAATAGTTTGAGACAGCATTTTCTTTGAAGTTTTAAAAGTATAACTGAAAATTACTGATACATTGCTATAATTAAAAGTGGTATATTAATAATGATAATGATAATGATAATGATAATGGTAATGGTAATGATAATGATAATAATAATAATAATAATAATAATAATAATAATAATATTTATGTTGGTATTGTTGGGATAAGATATGATTGATTGTTTGTTCTATAAACCAAAAAATTCAATTTGAAGCACCAACCATTGAGTATTTGTCAGTCCCGTTATTCTCCAAACCTACCTGAAATACTGCAAACTATAGTAGTAAAGTCTATTTTGAATCAAGTAGTAGTTTTTACTATTGTGTTTTCAATGGCTTTAATACAGCCTGCTCTTACAACATGCAAGAATATTGATTTGTATTTTGTCTTAATTATTCCAGAACATGATTTAGTATTTAATTAATATTTCAGCTTAGCTARATATGCCACTGGAGCAACACATTTTCTAAACACTTTTGTAAATGGGTTATACTTTCACTTAACTTACTGGAATCATCTATTTGATGGTTGCCAAGCCTCAAATGAAAACCAGAAAACATTTTGTTCTCCTCTGTGTTTCTCTCACTGCTCATGCACAGACACACGTGCTGCTGTCATCCTTACCCTGCTCTTGGTCAGCCTCACTCACTGTCACACCCATGGCCAGCCTGTGATCCCATATTGATTGCAGCAGGACATTCAAAGGGTGTGCAGGGCTTAACAGGGACACCCTACACAATGCTGGGGCCAGGCCCTCMGTTCTGAATTCTTCAGGGAAGGGATTGCACCTTTGTACTTGGATTTTTGGGTTTGTTGCTTGTGGTTTTTATAACGTGTTAGAATTGCAAATAGGATTTTTTTTTTTTGTCTATGGAACTTTAACGTGTCTTAATGCAGTTCCTACCAAATCCTACCAAGCAACACATCCTCAGCAAATCCTTCCAAATCCTACCTCAGCAACACATGTGGATTAAAGTATCTGAAGGAACAAGTCAGGTTTGACCCTATTTAAAGCATGTATCTTTTGTTTAAGATTTAAATGTGATTCATAGTTAATTGTTTTAAACTTGTCACCATTATCAATAAAAATTCCTTAGGAATACAAAATGACTTTTGAAACCTATCCTGACTCTCAGATTGCTGCCTTTGAGGCACACAGAGTAGTGCTGCGTCCATTTGGGGAAATTCCCTATATGTAGTGCTCAGGTGGGCTTTACTTTGGCTCCAGAGGAGATTTGGGCAATATTGTTGCATCACCCAYTTGTTTTTTTCAGCTTTCATCCCAGTCCCTGGCTCTCAGCACAGGCCCAGCCTGTCTTTAGCAGTGGAGGCCTAAGGGAGAGGTGCAGCAGCAGCACAACCTCAGCAAATCCCCAAGTCAAGAAAACTTCCCTCGACCCCCACAAACAGCCATTGCTGTTTCCTGACAAAGGCAGCTTCTGGCTTTGCCCTCTGTCTGCAGGCAGTTCCACAGTAGCCCTGTGGCACAGCCCTGGATGGATGGAGGATGATGATGCTGAAGGTGTGGAACAGAGCTGCCCCCAGGTTCTGTGTCTGCCAGCCCCTGTCCCCAGCTGGCACACATGGCCTCACTGCTCTTGGCCCTCAGTGTCTGCCAGCTAGAGAGGCTGAAACAGGCCAGCTGCACACCAGGCTTCTCGTTTCTCTCTCTTTTTGCCTCCTCTTTGGAAAGCTTGTTGCCCTCTGCATTTCTTTAAACGCACCTGCCCCATCTCCATTAGTTTGTCTCCTACAACTTCTTCAGGATTCCCGTGGTAGCCGAAGTTTCTTGCAAACAGGTGTGTTTTTAAAGACAATTCAACTACAATTTCCAGAGGTRTCTCAGGAAGTTCATATTCTCTCTTTTCCAGGGAGCGTTTACTTTCCGCGGGAGCATGATCGACATGCCATTACTGAAGCAGGCACAGAACATTGTTACGCTTGCCACAGCCATCAAGCAAAAATGAGCTGGTAAATGAAGCTCTCGCCATGGGGCCCAAGTAGCTGTTTTAAAAGATGACTATAATACTTGGGGGCGGGGGGGGGGGGGGGTGGAAACAAAATTAAAGACTTCAGGCTTAAACAGAAATTCATTTCCATTTTGCAGATCTGTCATAGTTTGCTTGCCAGAATTGCTAATTACTAAAACTATTCCCAACTCAAACCACCGCTCACTCCTGCATGGCCCATGTACTACACCTAGCCCGCAATGAAGTTACATCACCCACTCTGTGACATCACAATAATTACTACAAATGCAGGATTAGGACTTCACTGAAGGAGAAAAGCAAAACGTGAGCCATGGGCTCTGATAAAAGAGCAGATGAAAACTGATTCAATTGTTTCTGTTTCTATCTGTGCTTCTTCCCGCTCTGATGCAGAACTCCTGTCAGAAAGGAGAGAGCCTCGAATAATTACGCACTCGTTGAAATAACTGCAATGAAAATCTTTACCCTGTGTGAGCTTTGCATTCTCCCCACACCMCCCTTCTGTAAATGTGCAACGGCCATTAAAAATAATGCTCCAACAATGCAGGACTCTTGACTTTCTTCTCTTTTTTTTTAAGCAGTTGCTATTCAGAGAGTTTCCTCCTGGAAGCGTCCAGCCCGGGAAGGGTTGGATGGCAATAAACTTGTAGTTTTTGGAGACACAATGCAGCAGAACTTGTGCATATGGTCTCGAGTCAGATTTACATCACATTAGGGATACGGCTACAGATCATGTGGGCTGTGTGGTTAACGGGCTTAGTAAAGCTGTTTTGAAGAGGTTAACCCAGCTTGTAGTAAGGGTAAATAAACATAACAACCAGGCATTGTCCTCTATTCAGCATGTACTCTTATATGGAGGGCTAAAGGGTATTGAAGCTGCAGAGGATCAACTTGTGGTTGCCAGAGGACTCCAATGAAGTTTGAAACACCAACAATCAGAGATTTTGTTTCTGTTCCTCATTAAATCATGAGCTTTTGTGCTCAGACTATGAACGACTGTTCTTTAAGAAATTAACAGAATGGGAAGTTTTAAACTATGCACCAACCTTTTCATGACCTACACAGCAGCAATGCTGCTGCACTTAGACAAACACCGCGGGGAAGGCTGTTCTGTTTATTTAAAATTGTAAATAGAAAACAGTTGTTTTTTAGTTTCATTTCTCACCGCCTCCRTGGCCATTTCATGTATGGAGCCACAGTGCCTTATTCCTCCCGTTTCCTCGCTTAGTGTGTTTTCCCCTCCGTCTCCGAGCAGCGATTTCACTCATTTTGGGTTATTTTTGGTTTAATTAAGGGGGGAGGAAAAGCGGGGGGAGAAAGAACCCCACGAACCGGCCCGCGTGGAATCAGCGGGAGAGGGAGGGCGGGGGCGGCGGGAGCGCCTCTCCGCGGCTCCCTCGGGAACGACGGGGACACGGCAGGGCCCGGCCCGGGAGCGGAGACGGAGCGGGGCTGGGGGCGACCTTCCCGGGGACAGCGGGGACACGGCGGGGCCCGGCCCGGAGCGGAGACGGAGCGGGGCTGGGGGCGACCTTCCCGGGGACAGCGGGGACACGGGAGCGGGAAGGCCGCCCACCTCCGCCCGTGTCCGCCGGGGCGGCCCCGAGGGCCGGCGGCAGAGCCCCGCAGCCCCTCGGCGGGGTTCGGGGATGAGCAGCGAGGGCCGACCCCCCTCTCTCCCCCTCCGCCACCCGGGTCCCGTCCGAGGGCGCTGCGCCGGGGGATCCCTTACAGCGCGGGGACCTCCGGGCTAATCTGATTAATTAAAGACTACCTGCTTATATTGCAGCTCCCYCTCACCCCCGTGCGTTTCAGGACACCCTCCGTTATTAATTCCAGGCTGACTAAATTATGGGCAGCACTATTAAAACATTATCAGAACTAATGAGAAACAATTACTTAGGAGATGAGCTGGGACGAGCGGTAGCCGGGCACGCGTGTCGTTCTGCTCGCAGATTGCGTTAATAAATCATCAGGTGCACGGCAAGGCGGCGGCGAGGCCTGGCGCGGGGCACGGAGAATAAGATATATGAGATAAGGGTTGTTTGGGGTTGTTTTTTTGTTGTGGGTTCGGGTTTGGTTTTTTTTTGTTGGTTTTTTTTTCTTTTTTGGCATAATTTTTTCATTAATCTCAATAGGACGCGTGTGGTGTAGCTGGTTTTATTCCCTTAATACCGCGCAGAAAGACGGAGTGGGGGGAGGGAGGAGTAGGATGAGGATGATTTCAAAAACTAATGTCTTCATTGTTTTACTGAAGTCTTAATGACACGGCGTGACAAGCCCGCGGGAGCTGCGCGGCCGCGGAGRGCAGCGCAGGAGGAGCAGGAGGCACCCCCGAACCCGCACCCGCAGCTCCCCCGCGTTCGGCGCCTCCTCTCTCTCGCGATTGAAGGGACATTAATACACTCTCCTGAGGTGTTTACGCGCACCCTTCCTCCTCCGCAGCTGACTGCTTAAGGAACTTCGTGACCCGTGCGCGGAGAAATCGAATATGCAAATAAAATGCTGGATACATTCAGATTTTTCCTTAAATTTCCCTGACATCACCCCTCGAGCGAAAAATCCTACTTCCTTTTAACAGCCTTAACGGTTTTTGCTTTATCAAAAATAAAATCCGATTTATTTGACTTTTCCGTTTATTTTCCGAAGCTTTCCGTGATTTTCCGGCTTTATTCTTCTCCTCTTTCTTTATTTTTCTTTCTGTCTTTYTCTTTCTCGCCTGGTGCTAGGCAAGCAATTGATGAAACAAAACAGATTATAAGATTAGCAGCAGGATTTTGTGCATATTAATGATAGGGAAGGGCACCGAATGGGTTTGTAATTGCAGATCTTGCGCTTGGGATTGGGAACTGTAGCCCTGCCACAGCAAAGACCCCCCTGTGAGGTTTTCACATTGGAACTTAGGGGAAAAGTGAAAAAGTAATTACCAGAGCACAACACTGAAATGTTAAAGCACTTATTCTTTCTTTCAGTGTTCTGTTTTAAAGGGGGAAAACGGGCAAAATGGAAAATAAATTACTTTCAAATAAGTAGGTTAGCACCTGAATGCTGGTGCGCATTTTCCCGGCTTT